CACCACTACGCAGGTCTAAATGTTCGCAATGGCGTAGGCCATGTGCAAAGACTGTGGTGTAGGCTCTGCATTGAGCTGACGCACAAGTATAAATCTGCCTTATCAGTTAACAATGCTGAGGGGGGTTTGCGGCTTAAAATTGAGCAGCTTACGTTTACTAAGGACCCTGGGGGGAGACAGGTGGGTGAGCGCAATGTTTCCACAGTGACATTGTTGGGACGGGACGGCGTTACTAGCTGTAATCACTGAATGAGCTGCGCTGCTAGCTTGCTCCTGCCAGACCCTGGTGGTGCGCAGTGGAGAAAATTTGAAGAGTAGCAAAATTAAAATTAAAAGATACAGAAAAAAATAAAATGAAATTATAGACCAACGGTTCAAAAATATTCTCTGTATCTTTGCCTCCTCCTCAGCACAATGAAGGTGAATTTAATTCTGTGTTTCCACAGCATTAAAATGCAGAGAACGTGCTGTTAACAGATTGCATATAGATTAATCCTCCATAGACAGTAATTTCATGTCTCAAAAGTTGAACAAATAAAGCCAAAATTATCTACATAGATATGTACGACTTGAGGTAATAAGGGTGTAATTTGGCTCAACACAACTAATACATTTTTTGGCCACTTGAGGGCAGCGTGACAAGTTTGTTTATTCATTTTTCAGCTGTCCTTTCAGACATCCAGCAGACACAGCAACATTATCATATCACAGGTGCTGATGAATGAAAGTATTCACTCTCCTTTTAGCTCTGGTTTGGTCTCCACCAACTCCTGAAAAACACATGGTTCTGTAGCTGCTAGCTGCAGAGTTTGGTAATAATTATCTGTGGGTTTGATACCACAAGCAATGCCTTTTACATTACATGTTGTTTTAATAAAAGGACATTTTAGTGCAGCTTTAAGCCAGCGTTCCTGCAGCTGCTTCACACCAAAAATAAACCTTCCAGTGAGGTTCCATCTTTCATGTCAGACAGGTTTTATCAGGTTTTACCAGATTTGAAGAGCAGCTGTTGGAGGGTGAAAACCTCATGTTCCTCTTTGAGCTACCATGTCTGCTCGTCTCTCCACCAGATGAGACCTGGGTGGGCGTTTACACCCTGAAGGACTGCTACCCGGTGCAGGAGACCTACACCAAGAACAGCAGCGTCACCACCTCCACCCGCTTCTTCAACCTCCAGCTTGGCATCAGCGACCCTAACGTCTTCACCCCACCCAGCACCTGTCAATCAGCTCGACCCGAGAGGATGGTGGAGTCCAACTGCTGAGGCCCACCTTTAACCTTAGATACTTAACAGCATTCTGAGTCCGAAATCACTCCCGCGTTCGCTCATTCACTCTTTACATAACAGAAGCTCAATAGTTCACTCACAATGAGCAGTCAACTGAGATTTCAGACACTTTTACATCTTCATTTTTTGTCAGAGTTTACGGGTGTAGTGTAACTTTTGCATCTGTAAAATCTGGTGCATTGTGTTTTTGGGATTGTAAGCAGAAAGAATTCAGACAGCTAAATAAAATGGTGCATGGTAAACATAGTGCACAATATAGTATTAAAGGGAGTGACTTCAGATGCAGTCTTTGTTTAGTGTTTTATAGAATTGTTTGTTAATTTGCTGCTAATATGCTAAACTGTTATCCGGACCAATGAGCCCTTCTAGCTGCAATCTAACAAACTAGCTCATTTGGGATCGTTAAAGGTCCAGTGTTTAGGATTTAGTAGCATCTAGTGGAGAGGTTGCAGAACTGAAACTTCTCCTGTGTGCCAAGCGTGTAGGAAAACTACTATGGTCGATGCAAAAAATGTGAATGGCCCTATCTACAGCCAGTGTTTGGTTTGTCCATTCTTGGCAAGGTCTGGGAGAGGACCCGCTCCCTAGCTAGACCTAAATGTCTCATTCTAAGGTAACAGAAACAGAACAATTATTAGTTTCAGGTGATTATACATTAAAGAAAACACACTTATTATATTATATTTCTGACAGTATATTCCCCTAAATCATACACACTGGACCTTTAAATGATTAGTTTCATGCTAAAAAAAAGAAGTGACTTTTAGTGTTATTCTGGCACTCTTCATTGCAGCCAGTTCCCAGAGGTGTGGGCATGAGTCACATGACTTGACTTGACTAAATCAAAAGGACTTGCAACTCAGCTTGGACTTAAATGACTACACTTGGACTTGAGCCTTTTGACTTGAAAATACTTCATACCTTACCCCAAGCCAATTTCCTGAAGAGAAAGTTCGACATATTTTTTCCAATATGACATGAATTAGATAAAACAACACGGCACAGAAACATGTCCAATTGAATTCTTCTGTGGTTTTGGTTAATAGAACTTTATATTACAAAGTGGTCAGGATGAGGGTCACCACCTCCAAGTTTGAGGCCGTGGTTCTCTGCCAGAAAACGGTGGATTGGCCCCTCTGGGTTGGGAGTGAGTTACTGCCTCAAGCAAAGGAGTTCAAAGAGGTCACGTGTGAGGGTAGAATGGAGCATGAGATGCATTGGCGGTTTGGCATGGTGTCTGCAGTGACGCGAGCGCTGCGCCGGACCATCTTGGTAAAGAAAGAGCTGAGCCAGAAGGCAAAGCTTTCGATTTACTGGTCTATCTATGTCCAAAGTCTCACCTATGGTCATGAGCTCTGGGTAGAGACCGAAAGAATGAGATGGCGGATACAAGCAGCCGAAATTAGTTTAGAAGTTTCTGAAATTAATTTATAGATGCATCTGGAGAGAGCTCGGAGTAGAGCCACTGCTCCTTTGCGACAAAAGGGTTCAGTTGAGGTGGTTCAGGCATCTTATCAGGATGTCTCCTGGGCGTCTCCAGTTAGAGGTGTTCTGGGCAAGTCCAACTGGTAGGAGACCCCGGGGCAGACCCAGAACGTGCTGGAGGGATTATATGGCTCATCTGGCCTGGGAACGCTTGGGGGTCACCCAGGAGGAGCTGGAAAGCGTTCCTGGAGAGAGGGATGTCTGGAGTACTTTGCTGACCCCACGACCCGGCCTCAGTTAAGCGGTTGAAAATGGTTGGATGGATGGATACTGGAAAAGTATATTGTCGGCACTACTTTTCCATGCCTCTGTGCTGGCAATAACCATGGCCGGAGGCAATATGTTCTCAGGTTGTACGTCCATCCATACGTTCCACTCTTGTGAACATGATACGTTAAGAACACATTAAGAACAAATTTGGCACAAACGTTCACTTGGACTTGGACAATTAACCAATTAGATTTTGCTGGTCAAAGGTCAAGGTTGCTTTGACCTTGCATCCGTCTCATTCTTGTGAAAGTGAAATCTCAATAACACCTCATGGGGATTTTTCCAAATTTGGCACAAATATCCACTTTGACTCAACAATCACCTGACTTGATTTTGGTGGTCAAAGCTGAAAGGTCAGTGTAACCTCACAAAATATGTTTTTGGCCATAACTCAAGAATTCATACACTCATTATGACAAAATGTCAAACACTTAATTTGACACTTTCCTGTCTTCATTTGGGACTTGACTCAGTACTTGAGTGCAAAGACTTGAGACCTACTTGTGACTTGTGAAACAATGACTTGGTCCCACCTCTGTTAATTCCCAAGCTACCATGCTATCATAAGGCCAACAGTTGGGTTTTAGTGAAGCATTGTGTCTATGTGCTAGCTTTTCCTAATTTCTTTGCTCACGACAAGCAGTTTGATATAAATCCAAATCAATCAAATGAAGTGCCTCAGAATAAAAGTCACACAATAAAATACACAATAATAAATCAGAGGCATTGTTGTTTGTAGTTTCTTTGAGATCAAGGCATATTTTCTCAGACATGCAGCGACCTTTTTGAGGTTATACAATGTTTTTCCCACTAGCAGAGCAGAGAAACTCATTGCCACAATGTCACGATAGCAATTTTAATATTTTAGCCATAAAGCAGCTGGCTGGAATCGAGTAAAACTTGATGCATTTTCTATTCAGAGGCATCTATCTGCCACCTCTATCAGCTGTCCCTGTGTCCTACATTGAAACTTTAAACAATGACAGACATTCAAACAATACAATATGCAGCCATAAACACCATAAGTCAGCCGTAAAGGAAGTGTTTCTACCAGTAAGTTCTGTGCAAAACTATTTACAACCTTATTAAAATGAACGGGTGGATCATATCACTAGATGCTGTTGATAAATCTGCACTCTGAGCTGAAAGGGAGGAAGCCTTTTTGGGATCTTGAACATTTTCCACTGATTACATTAATGATTTCTGCAGTTTATGGCACAGAAACAACTCCTCATGCTCATTTTCCCATCAGCTCTCAGTCATTGGGGTTTGTTTTCTAGCCCCAGCATGCACAAACATCACAACAATGATGTTGCTACTCCCAATTATCAATCCTAATTTTCATATTTGGTCCTAAAACAATTTAAAGGCATTTTATTGACTTTTTTAATCCAATCATCTGTCGAAACAAGATTCTTTGATGTTGGTTTGGTGTGTCTTGGCCTTGACTTAAAGTTGCAATTTGTAGCTTTTATTAAAAATTAAAAAAATCTGAATATATATGTTGAAACTGTCTCATATTCACACAACACTAAATCAGATGGGTAATATGTGAAAATCTTTACTCAAAGTTATATTCAGGATTCAACTTGTTCCCTTAAAAATACTGAAATGACTTCAGCAAATAAGTAAAAACAGTTTGAGAATTTCATTAACAGCACTGATTCATTTGTCTATTTTTCCTCTCTGAATTACTTTAATCACTGAAAATTTTAATCAAATTGCATTTTTTACAGAAAAGGTCATTTTAAAAAGTATGGAGCCGTCTCCAAACCCTCTGATTCCAAGAAGAGTTTACCTCCTAAAAGTTGCTGATGATCAGTGTTTTTAAATGAAATTTAAATTTTTAAAAACCTTGGGGAATGGGGAGCCCTTGCATGTTCTCCCCGTGTCAGCATGTTTTCTCAGGGTACTCCAACTTCCTCCCACAGTCCAAAGACATGCAGGTTAATTGGTGACTCTAAATTGTCTGAAGATGTGAATGTGAGTGTGAATGGTTGTGTGTCTCTGTGTGTCAGCCCTGTGTCCAGGGTGGACCCTGCCCATATGTATATCACTCTTTATTTAGCTATTACTTCTCATAATTATCATACAATATATTTCTATATGTATGAGAAGTACTATATATAAAATGGAATATATAAGGCTATATACTAGGGATGAGCTTTTACTATTACTTGAATCTGTGTCTGTTCAACCAGCTACATTGTCTGTATCCGTATTCTGAGGGGCACTGGACAGATGACGCAGCCCTGCCCCACCTCATATTTAATTGACATTGCTCTAAAGTGAAGGCTTCGAGGCAAGGATGTCTTATTTTGTTAAATGCATGTTGCCTTGACTCCTCTCTCCTTGTGTCTCTTCCTCGAAACCTCCACTCACATCTCCAGTGGGCAGGACTAAGACACAAGGAGAGTAGCCGAGGAGGGGAATCAAACTGAGAGATCAGAAAGACTTCCCGTATCTCTGTCTCAAACCAGAATGACTCAGAGTTTTATGAGCCCTCCCTCCTCTTCCTGCTCTCACACACACAGCCAGCTCCACTCTGTCCACACATTTCCTTGTTCCCTCCCCTTCAGATCTACAGATTGAAGATGGGTGTAACTAACATGTGGTGACGTGAAAGAGCTGACAGGCTCCATTCACTGCAGGAACACATGATGTTCAGTTCAGAGCTCAAACTAGTTTCACTTTTAAGGAAGTGAGAGTCAGACAGGCGTTGTCACTGAGAGGTGAAATGGCGCAGAAAGGAGTTGAGCTGGACCGGGAAACCTTCTCTTGTTCCATCTGTCTGGATCTACTGAAGGATCCGGTGACTATTCCCTGTGGACACAGCTACTGCATGAACTGTATTAAAACCCACTGGGATGAAGAGGATGAGAAGAAAATCTACAGCTGCCCTCAGTGTAGGCAGAGCTTCACACCGAGGCCTGTCCTGGTGAGAAACACCATGTTAGCAGTTTTAGTGGAGGAACTGAAGAAGACTGGACTCCAAGCTGCTCCTGCTGATCACTGCTATGCTGGAGCTGAAGATGTGGCCTGTGATGTCTGCACTGGGAGAAAACTGAAAGCCCTCAAGTCCTGTTTGGTGTGT